ACTTAAGTCGTAGCGGAAGTCAATGCAGTTATCAGTGGCTTACGCCTCGAACCATCCAAGCAAAGAGCCTAACGATTTTTCGCACAAGGCGTACGCATTTAGAGCGTAACGCCTCGAGGCAGTATGAGCACCGCCTCGAAATTTTTTCTATCGTAATATAATGTAAAATATGACACAAGCCGATTCGTGTTTGTGTATTCGCGATATGATTAGGGCTTCCTGTGAAATTGAAAAGGGCCAAACTAGAGATGAAGCCGTGAGGGCAAAGAGACGAAGAAGCCGTGAGTGCAGGAGACGAAATCAGAGGGAGACGACGCAGGAAACGAATCCAAAAGCAATAACAGTTTCGAAAGCAGGAAAATGAAAGCACCAGAAGTTGTGAGTGCAGGAAAACGTTCAGGCCAAATCAAGGTTTAGGTCGGTAAGAACAGGAGTGAACGGTTTAGAAGCTGTCAAAAATGGACCCGACCCCGAATCCGACATGAAAAATTTCAGTTGGGGTTGACACCGAACCCGAAGGCGGGTCGGAGTTCGGGAGTTGGGACCCGAAAACCTGAGAAGACCCGGAAAAATAATCGCATAACCCAGGCTTCCACCTACGAGCCCCGCGGTCTAGGTCCCCGAACGTTCACGTACAGTCCCACGAATCGCGCCTGGCATCCGCCCTTGCCAGCCCTGCCCTGCGTCGCCCCCTGCTCGCCCCGCCCCGCTGCCGCAGCCCTCCAAAGCCATGTGCAGCGACCACTGCCCCTTTGCTCGCAAGATCATCGCAACTCGCGCCCGCGTATCCCGCCTAACGGACGCCCATTCCGCACCGTAACGCGACCCGTTCCGCGTAAAACCAGTTGTCGCGACTGAAACAAGTGGGTTCGGGGAGTTAGTTTCTACTGCCGCGCAAACCTGCAAAAGGGCGGTAAACCGGTACATTCGGATCTAAATCAAGCTTACAGTGATCACGGTAAAAAATGGAATGACCTGTTTAGCTCAAACAAGCGGGTCCGCAAACTGCCTCCAACCCGAAACCTCTGAATATATGTGCACTGCAATAGCTCACATTCGGGCTTGAGACATCCGAACCCGAGCCGCGTATACAGAAAAGTGACCAGACACGAGAAATGTGGGACACCCCGCTGGCACCACTGCCAACAACCCGGATGATGAGCTGAAGCTTGCGTTGTGGGACCAAATCGGACTAATAACTTGCTAGAATGTGTATATTGGAATATCTTTAAATCTTTAGCTTTCTGGATATCTTCTCCTTATGGCTTCTTGGGAAGCTCTCCTAGTCATGACGAATAGTGCGTTTGAACTCACATATATAGCTCGTAGATTGGCTCTCTGTCTTTCACTTCTCTGGTACTCCCTCTGCATCCGTCGTAGGCAGTTAGACCATATCCAACACGAAGAGACAATTCCCCAGAATTTAATATGGATGCCGGTCGATTGTCCTTATATCTACTTTTGAGATATACCTAAAGCCATCCAGCTCCGATTTCCAAATAAGAAGACTACTGGTTAACCAAAGACACTCCGCGATACAAAGACTCTTAGGGGAGCCTTACTTTTTCTTTTGGAATCGAGCTGGATAAGACAAATCCCGACTCAGAAGTTGTTTATCACAACTCCTTAAACAATTATACAAAGGTTTTAACGCATCATTTTTAACATTGAAAGCATGGAGTAAACTTCCGTATAAGAATCCCTCTGGCTCAAGATAGCAGGTGTCTATTACCTAAGTAAATAATACTCTCACAAGCAGTGGTATTAATATTTCAAAAAGAAAATTGCTAACACCAGTGACCCTCGTGCCAAAGCCATGCTCTTAATTATGAGGCACTAAGCAGCTCCATGGCATTACCGGCCAGCAACCGCTCTGTACAGACCAGCCGAGCAATAAAGATAATATATTATGTGAATTAAATCTCTCTAGCCTCATTTCATTTTAGGGGTGTAGCTGATGAGCAAAAGCAAGCACCGGTGCTAACAAACATGCTATCTATTTAGAAATTATTTATTATGGGATGCTCCCCTACCTTTTTCATCTAGACAGCTTGAGCATGGGCCCACCTTGCACGGGGTATAAAGAATGCGTTAATATATAGGTATAACGTCGCTGCCTAAAAAGCCTATGGGTAGGAGTACCATTAGCTCAGCGCTGACTGGATCACAAGCCAGTCACGAGAGTTATACAGATGACTCACTCAGGCAATACGAGCAGCACCCAACAATTTCACTAACAGCATGCAATGAAATCCACGGAAAAGCTCCGGCACAACAAGAGCAGAAAAGTGACTAATTCCCAAGACGGCATGCTCGATACGGAGCACGTCCTTGCCATGGAACCTAGCTCTAGAATAGAGCTGTGCCCTTAGCAAACATAACTTCTAATGTTATGGCGATGTGTAAGCTAGTGTGGTTTGGATAGACACTAAGTAGGGATTAGTTAGTTACAAGTATAAGCTAGAGTTCACGCTTCTGTTGGGGAGGTCTGAACCCACAGGGAATTTTGATAAATAAAGTTTGGCCAAATTTAGTGAGAAGGTACAGGGCTGATTGCATTTTCTACTTATTTTAGTTTTGCTGTCAGTTTTAAGAGCTTAGGTATATCCTAGGTTGAAGCTTTAATTGCATTTTAGCCAATTCCGTCTAGGAACTGAAGTCCCGGGAGCGATCTATTTACAACCACTTAAGAAAGCATAGAATAACAGGAGGGCTCGCAAACAACACAGGTCCCAAGTGGGCGAGAGACCAACACTTGAGGCCCTCCGCGCAAATTCCGAAACACGCCATCTGAAGATAACATTTCTTGAATACTAGACCTTGTGATGAGTTACGTTAAGTGGATGTGATTAGAACATATGGTAGTGATCAAGTAGGCTTGAAATGGAGTTTATCTAAGGCACTATAGTTCATGATAAAATATAATTTTTTGATAGCACGTATTTTCCAGGTTAGCGGCCCTATCCTAATAGATGACCTACATGAGTGGGTCCTGAACTCCTCAAAGAAGAAAAAGGGATATGTGCCTGTGCTGGCTAAATAAAGATTACTTGAGAAGCCCTCAATTATCACTGGTATGAAAACTATAAAATTCTTTAATAAGATGTCTGATACCGCGTGGTGTGGAGTGACCCAAGTATATATTGGAGGGTTATCTATATGTCTATACAGTGTGAGTGATTTAACTATTTTTAGTAGATTTAGCGTATTGTAGTGTCATAACACGACTATTAGATTCTAAGAATTTATGTCACAATAATAAGGATGTGGGTTGAAGGGATCATTATTATTAGTGTGTGGCATGATTATTCTTATGTTAACAATTTTCCACGTTGCACATAAAATAAGGTGCACCTTGATGTTATATAGGTGAGAAATGGTGGCTTCCAAAAATCAGACTTCGCTCAACGACTTGGATATTGAATTACAGAAGTACTCTCCACACCACAAGAGGGGTCAGGTAGGAGCACAAAGATGAACATTACATGGAAAGAAGAAATTGTGTATATAGACAAACCTATGTGTCTTGGGAGGTGATTTATGGACATATCCTACAGCTTATGTAAACTAGATTTCCTATGTATAGTGAAGAGAGCACTATAATATCTTAGGAGTGTTCTCTAATAACTCGCCCAGGCACTCTAAGTATATTCACCGCGCTCATGGTTTCTATATAGAGATTTAGAGAGAGTCTATAATCCCTAGATAATAGACATTAAGGGATAATATCGATCGCACTATCTGGGTATCTAAGCGAGGGTTCGAATAGAGATCAAGCAATAACTAAGAGCAGGCTCTCAGTTGGTGGGATCTTCTAGCATTTACGAGTTAACTCCTCATACGACACAAGGAATACTCCAAGATGTATTCTATTTGTAAATATTCTGAGGAAGAGTATCAGTCGGGTTTAGTGTGTGCCTTAGGATATGCCATTAGGAGAGATTAATTTTCAGAGCGTGCTTAGATATGATTAAGAATAAGAGAAGG